TTGTTGGCGATTGGCCCCCATCATGTCGGTCACCTGGTCCAGGGACTTGCCGGCCACATCGATGCCATTGACCTCCAGGATCTCGTCGCTCACCGCCAGCAGCCCCGTGCTCTCGGCCAAGCCGCCCTTCACCAGGCGGGAGATGAAGATGCCGGGCACCTTCTCGACTCCCTGCGGGGCCACGCGCACGCTGACGCCGTCGCGGATGTAGAAGCCCAGCGGCTTGTCGGAGCCGTGCTTGTGGAGCCGCACGCGGCGGTGGGTCTCGGGCAGGATGTCCACGTCAATGATGGAGGAGATCTGGCGGAAGTCCTGGGGCATGCCGATGAGGAGGTGAGGCTTTGCCCGGTAGTGCGTGGGGCGCAGCAGCCCCTTCTTCTTCCGCTGCAAGGAGTTCGAGGCGAAGACGCCGGCATCGGACTCTGCTGTAGGGAGCAAGAGAGGACACAGGTCAGGCACTGCAGCCACCCGGGGATGCAGCCGCGTGCCCTTGGCCCCAGCTGTTAGGGGAGCCGGCGGGAGAAGTGCCCTGCTCACGGGTCTCACGGGCTTTTCCTCCCTGGAGCATCACCCCGGCTTTTCCTGCAGCCTGTCTCCGCCGGGCCCATCTCCTGGGATTACCCAGCGTACATGAGGCCAGGATTAGTGGGATCGAGGCGGTGATTCAGCCTTAATCACACTTTAAGCCAAACTCTGCAGCTTAACACTAGCGCTGCCAGCCCTGATGGCCCGGGAGGCATGGCTGTGCCCCAGTTTGGGTCTGGGAAGAGGGACACCCCCCCCACCCCCGCAGGAGGGGGGTAGCCAGCTCCCTGAGAGTGAGTCCAGCCCCGTGAGACAGCACCAGAGTCCCTTGTCGCTGCTGGAGCAGGGCCATCGCTGGCATGGGATGGGGATGGCCGCAGCTGTGTCCTGCAGAGCCCTGCCATCCCCAAGGACAGAGACTCCCCACCTCCTGGAGACCCATCCCAGGGCTGCGGTGTCCCCGGGGCCCCGAACATCCCAAACTCTGATTTGTGCCACTGCCTCTTATTCCCCCATCTGGCACCACAGGCAGGGTTTGACTCCATCCTCCTTGACCCTGTCCTGGGGCCGCTCCGTGGGGCCCAGCTCCGCCACGTTCCCTCCTTGGCTGCATCCACCAGGTGCTGGGGAGCGTCCGCTGGGCCCTCTCTGGTTTCTCCTCATCCCTTTCCACGGGGGAGCCCAGATCCGGACGCTGCATTGCCGGCACGTTCCCCACGGTGCCCCCCACCAGCACCCGGACCCTGCTCCAGCCACGGGGGCACTGGAGACGCCCCCAAGCCCAGGGGACGCAGGGTTTCTCCCTAGCCAAGCCAGCCTGCCAGGGCTCCTGGGTTATAAATATCTCCCTGCACACTCAGCCTGGTGTATTTTTAGCTCGGGGAAGGGCGGCGGAGGCTTTCCCACAGCTATTTCAGCGCGCAGCTCCTCTCCGAGGGGCGCAGAGCAGCTGGGCCAGGCAGGTCCAGCACCCTGTGGACGAGCCCACCAGTGGCCCTGGTGATGTGCTGGGCTTCACTTGCGATGTCCTGCCCTTCCCGTGAGCCGAGCCCGGCTAAGGGGGGCCAGCGCCGCTGTCCCCGGCCGGGCTGCCCCGCGGGAACGGCTTCACCCCATGGGGGGGCGGACCCGAGGGGGAGCACGCTGGGGCCCTTGCGT